GTAGATGTTTTGTAGCAAAAGGAGGGGCGTGATTGACTTTGCGGTCTAGGAGCAGAGGTCCCTGGGACCATCAAGGGAGAAGAGCAAAAAGCGGGATCCTACCCAGAGGAGACGATGATATGGAGAGATGGGTGGTTGGGGACTTTAGACCCAGAGAGGTAGAGGGGCTGTGTGCTGATGAACGGGGGATAGGCTTGCAGGGTTATACCGTTTGGTTGGCTAACGATAAATGGAGGGGATTGTAACCATGGCAGTGAAACGATATACAATCGGATGAATGTAAAGCTAATGTTCTCTCATGTAAACCATCACATAATTCACAATAAAACATTAAAAAAAAAAAAAAAGTAATTTCACTGAAACAATGTAATAGAGTTGTTCTTTTGTTTTATATACTGGTTGTTGTTGTTGTAAGTGCCGATAAGTCCATTCTGATTCCTAGCGATCCTTTATAGGGTTTCCAGTGGGTTTGAACTGCCAACCTTGTAGTTCACAGTCCAGTGCTGATCCTACAGCGCCACACCAGGAGTCCTGTTTAAGGGGTGAGAAAGGGAAAGGAAAAGAAAAACAACAGGTTAAAGGTCTCAGTGTCAGATTTTCATAAAAAAAGACAACAAATGGAGTAAAGCAGACACCTAAAAGAAAAACAAAGCAGAGCAGATCAGTGTACTTGTTTCTTCATCATATGTATTATTTTTGCTTTTTTTCCATTTTGGGCACAAGTAAGGAAGACTACCATTACCTTTATCCTTCAGGATGAAGAGACTAAGTTCAGGGTTGATGATTTCTTGTACTGCTTAAAGTTCTCCCTTACTCTGCTTAAAATAAGTATTAATAGCTTCTTAATTTTCAGGAACCAGGTGCTTTTTTCTGGCATCTAAGTACTAGCAAGAACATGATATTTGACATCTTTTTTTTTTTTTTTTTTTTTTTTTTATTGTGAATTATGTGACAGTTTACATGGGAGAACATTAGTTTTACATTCATCTTACCATATATTGTTTCATTGCCATGGTTACAGTCCCCTCCACGCATCACCAGTCAACAAAAGGGTGCATCCTATAAGCCTGCTTCCCCCCTCTCTCCCCCTCTCTCGGGTCATCAGCACACAGCCCCTCTTCCTCCCTGGGTCCTGAGTCCCCAGCTGCTCCATCTGTCCACATCATCATCTCTGCTTCCATCTCAGGCATCACTGCCTCTCTGGGTAGGGTTCTGTTCTCCGCTCTTCTCCCTTCATGGTTCCAGGGACCTCCGCTCCCTGCCTGCAAAGTCAATCATTCCCCTCCTTGCCACAAAATGCCCACTTTAACATTTACAACCTTCACAATCAGTCCTGGTAGTAATTATTCGCCCTTGCATCACAAGAGACCTATCTGCATTTCATTTTAATCAGTCCCACCCACCTAGACAGATTGGATACTACTCAGTGGAGATTCTTCCACGCTCTCTGGATCTAGATTCCCTCTTGAAAGCTTGTAAGCCAGTCACTTCTTGCCTTTGTAGCCCCTCCATTTTGGATAGTCAATGTCCAAGTTGCCCATCCCTGTCTACTCTGTGCATGGAAGGGGTGGGAATGATCCCTGCTGCAAAGATTTGTTCCCTCTTTTGAGCTGCTGCATCCATAGGTGTAGGTCAAGTTCATCTAATTGTATCAGGTTACTCTTTTTTTTTTTTCGCTCTCTTCTTGCTTCTAGTTGAGCTCTGATCACCCAGTCGTTGAGGCTAGGTCAAATGCTTATTATCTGCATGTGTGGGTGCTCTTGTGGATATGTCTTCTCTTCTTATCCACTGGACACTTCACCCTCCACTGCAGTCCTCCATGGCTATGTCACTGACTCTGGGCCCAAGAGTCACCAGGTCTTGCCACTCTGCTGGCCAACTAGGTCTCCACCTGGGTTCACAGGAGTCTATTGACCATTGTAGGGCTTAGCTCACAGCCTTATAGCTGTTTTCCCCTCACTTCCCCTTGTCGGTGGCGAAAGTGGTCACCCATCAGAGCGTGTATTCCCATT